AATCTTCTTTTCCCTGACTAGATTGAGAGCTCACTGAGAAAATGAATTGTGTTTATTTAACTATGCTTTTTTCAGTAGCTGTCTTCATGTCTGGTTAAAAAAAAAAAAAAAAAAACAAAAACAAAAAAAAAACGAGTTTTAGTAAGTAGTTTTTGAATGTCTAAATCAGAAGATAAAAGTTCCCGGTCAAGCACAACTAAGAGTCAATGGAGGTCACTGTTTAGAAACTATCATACCCAATACCAAAAGGAAATACAATAAAGGTTAACTTTTTGAGTGTTTGCAGTGTATAAGCTCACCTAATATTATCAGCCACCCTTTGAAGTGGACACTATTTCATACATTTAAAATGAAGACATGGAGAGACAAGTATGTTAACTTGTTTGTAGGAGCATATCTAATTAGCAGCAGAGCCAACCTTTGTATTTCTAGTATTTCTTTTTCTGTGCCTTTCACTTAGCATAATATCTTCTAGGTCTACCCACATTGTCACAAATGACCTTTTTGTATATAGGTTTGTACTAGTAAATTCTAAGCACTTATGCTATAGTATTTCAAAATAATGTGGTTAATTGTTCAATATATTGCCTAGATGATCAAAAAAAGAATAAGAAATTAAACTACAACTTTACTGTTGATTCACATAATTATAAAGAGTGATATAAACAATATCCCCATGACCTTTTCCTTGAATTGAGAGGAGAAGATTCTTGCCTTTCGGCTTTATTTCTCAATGGTATAGACAAGAACAGTAGTGACCCTGCTTTTCTTACATGTGTACTAACTCATCTAAAGTGGTCAATTGATATTGGAGTCACATTGTGACAGTTGAAATTGTCTTGTGGGGTAAAAGTTCAATGACTAGTAGTAATGAAAATGGTTTGAAATGGCTTATAATTGAAGAAATCTTACTTGGTATCTGTCAGGAACACAGCCTTTTAAGATGTAGGGTATGTCATCCATGCATAGTCCTTCATCATCTGTCTCATCCAACCCCATGGAATCACACAACATAAATGGAAGATATTGTCCATCTTTTCCATCTTTAACAGGATATATCCTATACTGTAAAGGAGTCACATTAACATTCATTTTTTAACTAATATTCAAGACAGAACAATAGAAAGAACAGATAGTGTTGAATGTTGTAACACAGTGGTCTTCAAATATTTTAGTCTCAGGACCCTTTCAAAGTCTTCAAAAAATACTAAGTATCTCCAATATGAGATTCTATCTATAGAAAATGGACATACTATGAATTAAAGTTTTAAAAAGTTAAGGTTTCTTTTTAAAAAAATAGATAAAATTATAAGTATTTATCCTGTACAACATAATGTTTTGAAGTATATATACATTGTGGAATAACTAAATTGACATATACATAGCCTCATATCATTATTTTTGTGATGAGAAATTTTACATCCCCTCTCTTAGCATTTTTAAGAATAAAATGTTATTGACTGTAGTCACCATGCTGTGCAACAGATCTCTTGAACTTATTTTTCCTAACTTAAACCTTATATCCTTTGGCCAACACACACATCCCTCAAACCTGTCAAACCAACCTGGCCCCTGGGAACCAACATTCTACTATTTACTTCCATGAAATCAACGTTTTTAGATTCCATATCTGAGATAATATAGTATTTCTTTTTCTGTGCCTGTCTTTCACTTAGCATAATGTCTTATAGGTTTATCCACATTGTCACAAATGACAGATTTTTCTCCTTTTTGATCCCTGAACAATATTCCATCACGTACGTGTACTATATTGTATTCCTGCATTCATCTACTGCTGTACACTTAAATTGATTCCACATCTTACCTATTGTGAATAATGCTGTAATAAATAAGGGAGTACAGATGTCTCTTTAAGATATTGATTTCATTTCTTTTGACTGTACACACAGTAGTGGATTTGCTGGTCATATCGTAGTTCAATTTTTAGTTTTTTAGTTTTTTTTTTTTTTTTAGGAAAACTCCACACTGTTATCAATAATGTCTGAACATTTCCACCAGCAAAGCACAAGTATTACTTTTTCTCATTTTTACCAACACTTGTTATTTTTTGTCTTTTATGATAGTAGGCATTCCAATATAGGTGAGGTAGTATCTCATTCTGGTTTTAATTTGTGTTTCCTTGATGATTAGTGATGCCAAGTACTTCTTCATATATCTGAGAATCATCTGTGTTTTCTTTATTAAGAAATACTGATTAAGGTCCCTTGCCCATTTTGTAAAGCAGTGTTTTCTTGCCTTTGAGTTATTTGAGTTTCTTGGATGATTTGTATATTAACTCCTTTTCAGGAGTATAATTGGCAAATAGTTCTCCCATTCTGTAGATCATGTCTTCAGTCTGTTGACTGTTGCCTTTGATGTACAGAAGCTTTTTGGTCTGATGCAATTCCATGTGTCTTTTTTTTTTTTTT